AGCCAATAGAAAAAAATCCTTCCTCTGTCATCCTTATGTCTGTCGTTACCGCCTATGTTCCAAAGCCATTAGACGAAGTCAAGTTCACATCTTTTTTATGAGCTCTGATGAAGACGTGGCAGCTGCATCCAGACAAACTCATTTCATTGGGAAGAAAGAGAACATCATTCAAGACAGACGAGTGGTGAAGTCAGTTGGTGAAAGAGATGTTCTCGTGATTTACCACCAGGGGGACTTCTATGCTATTGATGTGCGCTGCTACCGTAGGTTAAGGACCGGTTGACTTAAAGGGATATACCACCCAAAAATTAAAATGTTGTCGTCATTTTCTCATCCTTATATCATTCCAATTTCTTTCCCTTGACACAAATAGAAAGTATACACCTATATAACGCTTAGGCCTGGTTAATTATTTTGTCTGCTCAGAATTTTACAGATTGAAGGCCATGTACATCCTTCCGTCCTCATTAATATGTTCATAAAATATATCTGTTGACATATATTAAACAATATATGTTTAAATAACACTGTTGTGCTTTTATTTTGTTGCAGACTCTGGAGGTCCACTTCAGGAAGGAGATATTGAGGTGAGTTGTTGTGAAGCCTTTAATTAGTCCATTTCTTTTCTTATTTATATTATATGCCACAAATTTGTTTTAACTGTTCTTTTTTTTATGTTGCCAATGAAGGACTTTGATGGGCGACCATCCATAGAGTGCCCATGGCATAAGTATAAAATTACATTGGCTGAGGGTGAGAGTCTCTATCAGGCAGTGGACCCTTCTGTGAAACCCCTGAAACCAACCTGGTGCTCCAAAGGTGTTAAGCAAAGAGTCCACACAGTGACGCTGTCTAATGAAGACGTGTCCCTCACCTTTAAATGACTCACCAGGCCCCATTGACTCTGATTACTATCAAACTGAGAAATATAGAAACTCTTTTCTGAAAGACTGGCCGAAAAAAATGAAGTGACATCACAGGAAGAGATATGAGATAAGTTGAGTGTCTCAGGTATCAGCTGATCAGCAAATGTGTTCTGCTAAATTCGTTTTTACCTGTCACTGCTGGAAAATCTAGTTAAGCTATAAAGCTGGTCTAGCTGGTTTGTAACAGACCTAAACTGGTCAACCAACCCATTGGTTGTGACAAGTGCACAGACAGCGAAAGAAATTTGGCAGAGTAGACACCTACAAACAAGCTTATGTACATTTTCAGTACTATCCAGTTATGTTTGTTGTACACTTAGGATGTTCTTAACTACTTCTTATCCTATTATTGTTGATAACAAAGTTTGGCACAATCATATTTACATTACAGTGTTACTGAAAATGATGATAAAGTCATAGGAAATTGAAAAGTAAAATAATGTACTATTATATTCCCTGTTTAAAATAAAGAATGAACGCAGTATATGCTTAGACTCAAGTGTCCAACGTGTTTTATTAATATTTTAAATTTTGTGAACAGGAGGGAGGTACTGACAGTGATGACTGATAGTGGAGTGTGTCAGGGGTTCAGAGGGTGACATGAAAAAATGAAAGGCCAAGGATGGAAGTGAAAGGAGGTGTTTAAATGAGAGAAATGGGTTTGTAATCTGTGTGTAAAAAGGAGTGGTGACTTGAGGGCCGGAGGAATGCTTAAAAATAGCAAATGTAGATAACATTATATGGCAATGCCAATGACTAAAAATGACCTGCAAGATGAGATGCAATGCAGGACGTAATTTCCTTTCCAATCAATATCAAGTATGCAGTGCATTCAGATTTGATGAAAGAAAATCTCACCTACATGCACATTATAGAGCACAATATTTTTAATAGTACTGGATTTGTTCATATTTTAAGAACATCTTGCAAAGCAAAAACAATAATAGCAGCCTAAACACAAATTAAAATAAATGCATATTGTCTCAGTATTTTGTTTAACCCAAAGACTGCAAGTTTAAATGAAACTTACTTCAATCCTTTGGTGGTAAAGCATGTAAAATAACATCACTGCAGTTTAGGCTTCACTCTTAAGGGGTCAAAGGGGTCAAGGATGACTGGAACCCTTTCATTTACTGCTATTCAACTAGGCAGCTTGACTTATAGGTTTCCATAAAACATCACGATTAAAAAAATTCCAAGTGACTGTACAAGGCATTAAGATTAACACAAAATATTTTTTTTAATGTACACCGTGGTGGAGACCTGTGCAAAGGAAAGTATTTAAAGTGCCATAGGGGGGTGCGCAGCCCCCCAGTAACACTATCTTCACCATAATGTAGGATATCCTGATGGCAAGGGTAGCTCAAGACGACCAGACCCAAACAAATAATAATAATCACACATCACTAGTTCTAAAATCTAATGTAATAATATTAACTTCAAACTAGAAAATATACCCTATACAGTCCTAAACTGTGTCAGCGCCACTTCAGTCCCTGTGCCCCCTCCCCAGATGCAAATTAATGAGAGTGGCACAGGTAGTAGAATGTCTAATTAATTATAGTTAGTAGAATGTCTAAAGTGGACTATCAAAATACAGTGTAAGCACTCTGTTTTCCTTTTACCAGATCTGCCAGTTATGTAACTCATCAGCCTATGACAGCTCACCTCAAGTTCTTCACTTCAGACTGTAAAAAGCTTGCTTTCTCTGCAAGGGGAATTTGTGTGTGTGTGTGTGTGTGTGTGTGTGTGTGTGTGTGAACTAGATCAGGAGTGTCTGTATCTCAGTGTGGGAGTTTGTGTGTGTGTGTGTGTGTGTGTGTGAACTAGATCAGGAGTGTCTGTATCTCAGTGTGGGAGTTTGTGTGTGTGTGTGTGTGTGTGTGTGAACTAGATCAGGAGTGTCTGTATCTCAGTGTGGGAGTTTGTGTGTGTGTGTGTGTGTGTGTGTGAACTAGATCAGGAGTGTCTGTATCTCAGTGTGGGAGTTTGTGTGTGTGTGTGTGTGTGTGTGTGAGAGAGAAATAGAGCAGGAATGTATGTATCTCAAACTGGGAATTTGTGTGTGTGTGTGTGTGTGTGTGTGTGTGTGTGTGTGTGTGTGTGTGTGTGTGTGTGTGTGTGTGTGTGAGAGAGAAATAGAGCAGGAATGTATGTATCTCAAACTGGGAATTTGTGTAGGCTACATCGTATGTGTGTGTATGTAGATAATCTAGAACTTAAATCACTAACTTGTAGCCTATATAGTATGCATACATTTGTATGTATAGGTCTAATTAAAAATGAATTGGTCAGCTTTTTCATTTGTTACACACATTCACACATAGTGTTGAATATTCGCAATTGTCACTGTTATCTAAATGTGGTCGACATTCGTTTTACTTTTTACAAGGAAAAATCCAGCTAAAACACCACTTGTACAGTGCAAGACACCTATTTTTAACGAGTTACCTAAATAGACTTTCCTACAATATGTTTTCAAACCATTTTCACTCTGAAATCGCGTGTGTAGCTTTAAAAAGTGCCGTTTTGCCGTCGGACCGGAGTTGTGATAATGTTATGCAACTTTGCAAAGAGCTGTGGGGTCTGCCCACTTCATGTCACGATGATGAAGACTGATGCTGAGATGTGTGGACTGCGTTTCTAACCCCCTTCCCCCATGAAACAAATCAACGCGCCTTTAAATAGAACCATATTGTCATTCTGACTGCTGTTATCTGACTGCCAGAGCGGAGACGGACCCGCTCGTCTTCCATTGCAGAAGAAATACACTTTTTATTCTTCTATTCCACACACTCTTCACAGTAAGCATGCCTAGCAACAGAAAGAAGAACAAGCGCCGAATGAGAAAAGTGGTGAGTACATTTACTTTCCTACTTTGTTTTTAAAATTCAGATTCATTGTCCTGCAAACAATTCAGATTTAATTTTTAGCGTCCAAACTGTTTTAATATCTGATTATGTTTTTGTAGTTATTTCTGTCGGTTTTGCATGGACTTTATATGATTTATTTTTTTTAATAAACTGCATAATTCATTTTTAGCGATCCGTTCTCCAATAGTGTTATTTAATTCTGTTTATTTATTATAAATAACATTTAGTGAACTGTCGTCATAGGCTTATAATTTTCTGTTCTCTGGTCATTGGTCCGTTTCCATATGAAGAATTAATTGATATTTTCTGAGATTGTTACTTGCCGTGTCATAGTACAAGGGGTGTGTCCCATAAGTACCAGTACAGAGATGCAACCGAATTGCACATCCTACCTTGTATCTCTAGAAACATTTGGATTAATAAATAAATAATATATAATAATAAATAACAATCATTTTTGTAAATATTGCAAATAGTTTCATAGTAAAAACGTATTTAAAAAGTGTTGCTTGGATTGTGCATGTGAAATGCCCATTTAAAATAACATACTTCTGACTTCTGACCCATCACTGTTTAGTATTGTGCCTGATAACAATAAATACCAGAATCATAATAATAACAATTACTGTCTGTTTTTGTGTATTCCATGGGTGTGTTTCACCTCTAAAGTTTGATTGGTTTGCTTTGTGGCCTTTTTTCTTTGTTCTGTTCTGTGCAATAAACCAAATCTTGCCTTTTGACTTTTGTTGATTTTGGCACGTCCTTTGGGTCAGTCTAATTCCAAATATGGTTCAGGGCACATTCCTACAGAGGCAGTTGGTTCAGAGTTTACATCCACTGGTTTTGTTTATAACTGACCCATTATAAACCCATTGATTTTTAGAAAGTGATGTAATTTATATTTTGTCAGTGCAAAGAAATGTTGCACTACATTGACCATGCCTCACAAGACATGTTTTTCTTCTCTGACCAGTGACATAATGAAACACACACAGTTTGTGCAAATGAACACAGGACTCTTTGTTTGAATTTTACAGCAGCTTGTAAAATTGTATGTCATTAAAATCTCAACCTTTTCATTCTGCTTAGCTAAACATGTAGCTGATTAATGCTCACTTGTTGTCCTAAAACCTTGGCATGCAGTCATATCAACATAACTGCCTTTCACACAAGTACAGCAATAGAGGGGTATCTTTTATCTCTCTGGCTGTTAAGCTGGTCCTAAACAGGGCACATTTCACCGTCTCTAATCATCCTGGTAAAATAGGAAATAGTGAGTACTGGGGGTTGAGTTCATTCCAACACCATGTTTGTTGCTAACCACCCTTCAAAACAGAAGAAACTTTTCTTTTTTTTTTTAACTCAGCTGCCAGATCCAGTCAACTCATATTTTTCAGCTGTAGGCCCATCCACAATCTTCCAAACTACTTTCTCCTGTTTTTATAGAATGAACAGCCTTGAAGAAAAATGTGCTTCTTCTTTTTTTCCCTATCCACCTCCTCTGTTCCCCCGAACGGCAGGCCATTTATTCTGTTATGCTGGCCTGTTTCATGGACTTGGGCCCATGTTTTGCCTGATTTGGCTTTGTCAGTGCTGATGCTGTCTTCACACATGGTTGCATAATTTGGCCTTAATTGTACTGGACACTGTACATCCCATACATGCACAATGAGAGCTTACATTCTTTTGAGGCCTATGTAAACCTCACTGGCCAGCTCTTGCTTTTGTATAATGAAGCTGTGAATGTGATTATAATGCGATTATGGTTCCATTATGACGTGATTAGCATTTTTGTCCATTCTGTTTAGCCCCATCCAGAGCTCCAATAGGGTCTGACTCTTCCAACTCGACTAAGAATGCTTGAATCAATTGGATTCAGCCATTTTTAGCCATTAGACAGCTAACTTTTGTTCACTTATGTAAGCTTTTAGTGAAGTTGTTTAACCCTGTCTAACAATATTATGAGGTCAACTGAACTAAAGATAAGAAATAAATTGGTTCAGATTTCAAAACTCAACTATTTCTCATTCTTTCATTTGAATTGAGCAGCAGGCCCAGAGAAAGGCTTTGGAGGAGAGGTTTGTCTCCTCTGGAAAGGGAACCCCAGGAGTGTGTGCTGTCCCTGCCCCAGTTCCTGCACAAGTTCCAGTTTCTAAAATCTCAGAGTGTCCCATTGCGGTTCCAATTCCCCTGGCAGTGATTGCTCCCATCGACGTTCCTGCTGAAGTAACTCCTGCAGAACCAGTCATGGTACAAGCCCCAGTCACAGACGCCATCAAAGACAAAGTGGTGAAAGCTGCAGAGGACCTAAGACAAACCCCAGTGGAACCCTCTGCAAAAGAGCTAGTTTTGACTGAGGAAGGTGACAGCATTGCCATTCCAGTATTAGAGGTAATGTGCTATCGAACCCCATTCTTTGAGGTCAGTCAAATAGGTTCAGAGCCGTTAATAATTATCAAGTGCACACCAAAAATTGTAGGAAGTAATTATCAATTATTACATTGGACTCGAGGAGTCATGCAGATGTTACTGTTGTGACCAATATAAAACTATTTGCCTGGCAGTAATGGCTTTTTGTAGCCATCATGGAAGATAGAGGTGTGATCATGAATGCAATGTAGGAGGGCAATATTTTAGTGAGCGAACATTGTGTACAGCATGCCTGGAGCCATGGCAAATTTTTCCGAACTGCATGTTTTTTTTCTGTTTTTTTTTGGAAAATAAGATTATTAGCTTTTTTGAATGCTGCTCCCTTTTTAGGAACAGTATTTCATACTTGTCGTGGAACACGAGTTGACTCTGCAGGATTGTATCTGGTGGAATGTGTTGAATATATGAAAGTAGTTATTCTTGTATTTGTCCTTAGGCCTGGTTTTACACATACTCTGTCATTAGTAAGTCTGATGGTGTGAGCAGGGCTGCCAAAAAAGGGGTGGGCAACTGGACTGTTTGAGGGGGCTTGGATTGTAAAGTGATTACAATTTCAACTGAGGGGGACAAGGGAACGCAATTTCAACCAATGCAGCCCTGGAAAAATGATTGCGCCGAAGCCTGTGATGATTTTTTATTTGTACCAGGCCCTATAGTTGCTTACTGAGCATAAAGGAGCAGTCACATTTACTGTTGTTTGGCAAATTTTTGAGGGCGAAAACACGTAATTTCAATAGGAAACATCACATTTGGGAATTTCACATGCATTACAAGTAACGCAAGTTATGTAATCAGATTATTTTTTTCAAGTAACTGTTAAAGTAACACATTACTTTTAAGTTTACAAGAAAATATCTGAGTTATTTTTTCAAATAATTAACACAAGTTACTTAGTTTTTCCATTTATTCACTGACACCTCTCCTGTCCCCATGTTGAGAGAAATTAGCTACACAATTAGTAACTTTTTAAGGAGTAAAGCAATATTGGAATGCATTACTCTTAAAAGTAACTTTCCCTAACACTGATTGTGCCTATATGCAAGCTGACGTTCCCCCTAAATGATCCCAAAATATAAAGTCACTGCCACTCTCTCCTCAAGCTCCTGCACCTCACCCTCCCTCCTGTTTTTTGAAGAGCAGCCAAGCTTTTAAAGCACACCCTTCTTTTCCTGTGAGCACTGCTTCAGCCTCTCCTCTCTTTTCACAGACATCACAAGTGCTTGGGTTGGACATCCACACACACCGAGAGTGGCACAGGGCAGGGCAAGAGAGAGAGGCACATATCATTATAGTGAGTGTCACGTTAAGGGCTTTTTTTTTGTTTACTGGAGTGTCAGGTCTGTGACAGCATGGAGGAACTTATATGTGTATGTGCAGATAGGTGGGTGGAGATGAGAAATGTGCTTGGGTGGGGTGCATGGCCTAGTCATGCATGCTAATGAGGGGGTGTGGCACCTTTAATAATTTATTGTTAAATCTGAATTTAGGGAGATACTACTAAAGAAATTAGAACTGTAAAAGCAATTGTTTTCTAACTTAATAATAGCCATTGTTTTGTTTAAGATGGTAAAAACTTTATTTTTGAAGAAAGAGAATGTGAAGCAGATATCTGACTGGCTCATTCATAACCACATGCACACGCTCAGCTCTGAGGAGGCGTGGTGGTCAACAGAATCTCCTTTGTCTTTAACAACAATCTTTGTGACAACAGTTGTGTGTAAGGCTTTGTGTAGTTTATACAATACATGTAGTTAAATGTCATTCTGAGCATCTATGATGTGAGCATACATTAAACATTAAATGGGGATCCAAATAAACAAATACATTAAACAGTAATACTTTACCATGGTTATTATAGTTTTGAATGTTGTTTTTATTTCTGTTTTTTTTTTTATCCAATTTAGTTTTGTTTAGTTTTTACTTTGTCGTTAGTTTTAGGATTTTCTAGTTTTAGTTTTAGTTTTTAACATTTTAGCGCTGCTAGAGTTAATGTGCTATTTGAACATGTTTGATGGCGTAAAACTTTCTCAGCACTGTCTTGTGGCGTTTTCATGCTTAATGAAGGTGAATTGTAAAACTAAACATTTGTGGCAATGTGGCAAGATTTGCATTATTGCATTCATTTTCATCCATTTTTGCTTATAGTTGTACTTTTATAGGTAAAATTGTAGTCTCATTACAACCTTAAAAGAAAAGAGAAACTTAATTTCCGTATGCTGATAGATATAGAAGCCCATTTCCACAAACTTTTTATGTCATAATTATTACATGCTATGTCATAATTGTGATTATGATACCAAAGCATGACTTTTTTCTTATATGGCAGAAATGGGCTTCCACAAATACAGTACATGCATTGGAGAGTTGGAACAGTGAAAGATCTCAGAACAGTCTGTCATACTGTTTTGTCGTTGTTGTTTTTTTCCCAAAGAGTTCAATTAGCCATGGAACATTTTGTTCTGCTCCCACAGGGGGCGTTTGGACTCAGTACTCAATGCAGAGACTGGCATAGTAATGTAGAACACATCAATATATTAAATCATACTCAATATTTCAGCAACATGCATATGTTGTACTCGTGTTACACTTGTGAGCAAGTGCAAGTGTTCAGTACTCAAATGCAGAGACTGGCATAGTAATGTAGAACACATCAATATATTAAATCATACTCAATATTTCAGCAACATGCATATGTTGTACTCGTGTTACACTTTGCTCTGCAATGGACATGCATTATTAACATTTAGCATTTTATTTAATCCCCGTTTCTCACCATTTGGTAGAGTTAGTTTTGTCTAAAACTCATAACTTTTGGTTAGAGATTCTTGTTGTTGTTTCATAATGTATAAATTAAAGTGTTGTGAAGTGTTATGATTGTCAGTATTATAATATATTGTAGTTTAAGAGACTTTATGACAGACAGTTGTGTAACACAATGAATCTTTAGTGTTATGTGGACACTGAGCTTTAAAATTTTGTGCCTTACTGTTCTTTTTAGGTCATATCATCTATAGATGAGCCAGTGTCCAACCCTGCAGAATCTGAGGTATGGTAAACATGCCATATCCCATCAGCCCTTGACATTTCACCACTGTTTATCTACTAAACACCCTTGCCTTTGGCCATTCACACTAATGGGCTGGTAAAGGTGTTTTTCCTATTTACCAGGCCTCTTGCGCCACACCTTACATTTCAGGGTGCACTAACATGCTTTTCTCATAACTTTGCTTTATGAGGTGTAAAGAAAACATATTAACCCATACTAACAAGGACTCTAGCGTTACACAAATATACAGCATGCCTATAGAATATACATAAATAAGACTTTGTAATGAGTATGTAAAAGACTTTATCAATGGAATTTGTTCATTCTTTAATCATGATCTTTTTAAAATATGCTATTCACAGGTCCAGTTTGAGGACACTACACCTGTAGCCACAGAGGTAGGTTTATATGCATATGTATAGATAGATAATTATTTTATCTTAATAAATTAATATTACTTTTTTTATATACTTAATTATTTTTGGTTTCATACTATTTGTTTTACCACCACAAAACAAAATGAAAATGTTATTTTAAATCCTTTAAAATAATTAAATCAATAAAAACTCTTCAAAGATTGTAATGCAAAATACATTTTTGTTGTGTTCAACGTTTGAGGTCAGTAAGATAAAAAATAAATTATACTTTTGTTCATTAGGGGCTCATTAAATTGATCAAAAGTGGCAGTAAGACTTTCAGATTGTTACAAAAAAAAATAATAATAATAATAATTCAAATAAAAAGTTTCTTGAGCACCAAATCAGCATATGATTTCTGAAGAATCACAGGAATAAATACCATGTTTAAATATCTTGTAATAGAAATTTTATTTTAAATTGTAAAAATATTTCACAATATTTCTGTTTTACTGTATTTTTAAATAAATGCAGTTTTCTTAAAGCTG